GATCTCTTTATTTAATATTTTATAATTTTGCATAGGAAAGTACTTTTTTGCTGCATAGTAGCAAGCAGATAGCTTACCGGAACGATGCCCATCCGTTACCGGTAGCCCAGCTGGCTTGCACCTGTAGCATATTGTTCCCTTCTTTTCTTTTAAGTATGGCGGCACAGTAGCTGAGGTGTTTCCCACCTCTAGCTAACGTGTATAGTGTGTAGTGAGTAGTGAAAAAAGTGAGTAGAGAAAAAGAGACGAGGATATTCGCATAGCTATAGCAATCGCTCACGGTTATCATCACAGTAGCCTACACCATGTTGGCCGTTCAGATAAAGCTCATCAGAGGACAATTTTCCGACTTCGGCGTTTAGATCGCCAACCAACACCACAGTATCCGTGCTTCTTCTGTAACGAAGGAACTCATGAAGTTTCTGATAGAAATCATCTTTCACCAAATCAATGCTACAGTTTGTAGAAGCGTAGGGTGCAATGACAACCAGGCACAGTTTGTTCCCACGCGACTTCAAAGCATGGAACAAACCGGCTAACCTAACAGCGCACATCCTACTGTTGACTGGGATCCAATCGATCAGGGCAGCTTCAGCAAGGGGACTCAAAATAATGCCGACGCCAGCTTGACCGGCATTTGAAGCTGCATCATCGCCAGACAGGCGCAATGAGAATGTGCCGCCAGTGTCGCATGTGGGGGATCGCAGGGTAAGCACGGAGCTCGAATCTTGCAGCCGGGAATTCTGATAAACAGCAAATAGCGATCGATGGGAACACTAATGCGCGGGCAAGTGCTGCCTGTTGACCGATCTGTAACCAGTCTTAGCGAGACTCGAGGACTGCAAAGGGAAACGGATGAACTGTCGTTGTCCGGTTGGTTGAACATGGACAGATCGACTGGATTGGAGCGACGTCATGCGATTGTGTGTGAGTCGAAACTAGAAGACAAGCGACTATGGAGGCAAGTTGGGGGAGGGCAAAGAATTGAGGGACCGAAAATGGGGGAGGTAAAAGTAAAGTCGGAGCGGGACGACAACGATGAAAAGCGCAGGGAGGATAAGAAGACGGGAAGGCTTGAGCAGTATCATCCAAATCCCTATCCACCCTGTTCGATGCAGCAGATAGGGTGCCGTTGATTATCCTTTGCGACGACCAGAGGATCAAGAAATTGTTTGATGAAGGGTTCATTGTATTGCGTGGGCTGGATACTGTCAGGTTGCCCAGGCCTAGACAGGAGAACAATTAGGGTTCGCAACAAAAGCCTTTGGTTCAAAAACCTGACCGTTTTAAGGAATAAGGAGCCACCCTCATTCCAACTCCAAACCTGCAGGACCAGGTGACTGGGTTTGTCTGGCCTCTAACCGTTGACCAATCTTGTATGAGTGGCTCCGAAGGTGCAAAAAAGCACCACCCAGCGTAACTCAATGGATCACTGAGGCATACAAACCATCGAACCACGTTAATGTCCAATCTCCTCGCGAAGGTGCGCGGGGGGCGCAATCACTAGAACAACGGCTAGGGAGCCGCAATGCCATAGCCCAGTTGGTATGATACCGCTTATGTATGCTTTTATTTTAGACCAGCTATTTCACCATGATCAGCGGGAATACCGCTTCGAAAGCAGTGTGCAAGAGCATGCAGGATGCCTGCACGGACGAGCTAGTTAACCAATTGAAGTGGCGCGGCGTTCGGACAAAACACCGCTTCGGCGAGACTCGATTGAGCAGGGCAATCATCGGTTAGTCCCCAATATAGCAACTGATCCCCATGTTCTAGATGCATATGGGGATACATGACTGCACAGAAGAGGAGGTGAAAGGTTGGCTCCGTCGGTGGCTTCCGAGGGCTCACGAATGTATCCTACGTGCGCCGACTCCAAAGGAACAGAACCAATTTTGTCGTAACATTGCAGGCTACATTAGTAGGCAACAATGGATACACACTGTGTCATATAAAGTGCCTGATCATTGCCATTTGCGATACTGAATACCTGTACTCCATGCTATCACTTCGAGCCTTTTGTTAAAGGTCTAAATTCATGTTCTCTACGTATGAAATGAGATTCCGTGGGTATGGGACAGTTATCCTGCACAGGCAAGATGGTTTCATTCCGTTTCCAACTGCAGGGCCTAATTGTGTCATTTTGTCGGGGTTCCACTACTTCGGCTATTCGCGTTCAGCGTTTTGTACACAGACACTGCACAGACAGATCATCCAAATAAGCATGCCATTGTGTTCAGATGCAATAAAAAGTTGTGTACATCACTGTAGGCAGATGCTCACTGTTTCGTTTACCTTATTTGGAAGAAAAGAATCTTGACACATTCGGACATCGTGGTGTACGCATTGAGTAAACTTGCACAAACACATACAGAGTGGCAGAGAATTGCCAGGTCAAGGCTACGGCCCGCACATATCAGCACCGCCAGGTTATTGCTACTCACACCATCGCTTCAGATTTGTCGGTAATGTTCAATTAACCTAATGCCCAGTAGGTAGCGACGCTTGGAAGTTTGGAGACATTGGAGACTCTTAGACAGAAGGCGCTAATTCCCGTTTTCTTAAGATGGAACGCCCCTCACAGTAGTCCTGAATCGATGGGGGTCCCTTCTAGCGCCACAGTGGTCGCAGATTCACGAAAACTATCGCCTTGGCCGTTGAACACGTGTACTGACTTCGGCAGTCGCATACCCGTCATGGCTCATCGGCTGTTAACGTACCTGAATCGATCAACCATGTCTAGTTAGTCATCAAGGAAAGGTGGATGACTCCGTTTCATCGATCGATGTATGCCTGGAGGATGTCATACATATAGTCCTACTCGTTGCCACATTATCAACAGTAATAGTAGCAGAGTCACATAAATGTTGTATGCTGGTGCTTCAATGTGACAAGCTGAGAAATGCACAAGGAAAATCATGCTCGAAAAGTGGAACATTCTCAGCGATTTATCAAGAACACCAGTCTGAAGTAAACAACTGTTTTCAATGATTCATCTATGAGCCGCTCTGGAGGATGAGATGAAATCCATACAGGAGGTCTTGCGCGAAAACGGTTACCCGGAAAGAACTAATCAGCTCAATTTACAACTCGAAACTACATCAAACGTTGAGGAAAGAGTCGAAAAGAAATCTCTTTTTATCCGCCTTGGTTTTAAAACCAAGGTGATCCAGTTGCTGAAGTTGTGGCAAGAAGATTGAGACAATCGATAACGAACACTCTTCCGGCTGCAGAACTGCGATGCGTCTTCGATACAAACCGGTTAGTTCCGGCGTGCAACAAAGACTGCCAAAGCTGACCTTTTCTTACAGAATCTATCGATTTGATTGTATCCGTGTGCAACATATATTGGTCGAATGGCTCGTCAATTGTTGCGTCGCATTAAGAAACACAGTTCCAAATGGTCGTTGAACGAAGGCATCGGAGTTCTCACAAGCGGTTTTTGTCATCACGTAAAGGTCACTAATGTATTTACTGCGGTTTATCAGGTCCCCATAAGTAAACCGAAAGGTTTGCGGCTAAGGATGCTCGCCACTGCAAAGGCCATTGCGAGCCGAAATTTAGACCCGTGTTGTGCTCGCAAAAATATTTTGTTCAATCTCACTGTCTGCCTCGCCGAACAGCCATAAAACTAGTCGTCACTCTGACATCGGCTCAGGCATTGTGAGTATATAACCCTTGGTCGATCTGTGTGTGCATGAGACAGATGCGAACCAATAATTGCCTAACCACTGGCCCAATTATTTGGTAACAAACCTCTGAACCAATCATTGTCCATTCTTTTGTGTTTTAACTTTACATAATTTGTGCCGGACCGTAAATGAATCAATGAAAACAATTGTTTACCTCAGACTGGTTTTCTTGAAAATCATGCTACTGTGCAAAAAGTTAAATGTTGGTCTTGGGGACCTAAAGTAAAACACAAATCAATAAGAGAAAGTAGCGATCATGAGTCATTGGCTCACTTGTTCCTTTGATCACGCAGTTTCGCCTGTTCCGCAGCAAACATCTGACGACGTCGTTGCTCAGCATCCAATAATATTTGTTGTTGGCGATACCTGGTAGGGAAGGCAAGAACGTGTAACTGCAGTCGTCGTTGAACAGTAAGAATCCGCAAGATTTTCCGGTAAATATTTACGATGAACGTAAACCATCATCCCACAATCGTCATCATCATCATCATACACGTTAGCTAGAGGTGGGAACACCTCAGCTACTGTGCCGCAATACACAGAAAAAAGAGAAAAAAAGGAATTCAACTGGGGCAAGCCGGCTGAGCTACCGGTAACGGATGGGCATCGTTCCGGTAAGCTACAAGCCGGCTACTATGCATAAAAAAATTACTATGCAAAATTATATAAGGTTAAATAATGAGATCGTGGTTGGAGGGGGAGGCTAAGAGGGATGGGGTGGGACAAAGAAACTCACAGCACGAACGCCACTGAGGTCGGCTCCTAGCCATATCAGCAAGTGTGTCCAGCCAAACGTGTTCATCGTCTTTCGGACCCCAACCAGGGAGCCGTGACGCTCCAACCGAGGCCAGCTCAGAAGTGAGGGCCTTCATTCCTCTGGACCAAGTCATCGCTTGGCCACCTCTCCTCTTCTTCCATCCACACTACGCAGCAAATAACGCATGTCACGGGAGTCGGTGGGCTGGCATGCGTAACACGTGGCCGAGCCATCGGAGCCTGGTGCGTGAAATAACGGTGCTGAGCAGTTCAGTTCCATTTCCTGTGCCGTAAACAAGGCGTCGAACACGCTCGTTGCTCACGCGGTGTTCCCACCAGATGTGAGCTAAATTACGAAGGCACCGTTGGTCGAACGTAACTAGCCTCTTCAGGTCCGCTGCTTTAAGCGGCCAGGTTTCACAACCGTACATTAGGGTCGAACGTACTGCTGCATTGTACACTCTACCCCTCAGGGCAGGAGTGATGTCGCGCCGGCGCCATAAGCGGCGGGGCAAAAGCGCCCCGAGCTTCTGCTATACGGTTCGTGATCTGGTCTTATATCCCACGGGCGCTGATACAACTTCCCAGGTAGTTGAATTTTTGAACGACTTCTAGCTGATCCCCACCAACGGTCAGCGTAGGGCGCGGTCAAGACCAATCTTGGAGGAACGCTTTGCACTTCGAGGGTGCGAAGCAAAGCCCGAAGTGACGGACAGCTAGTGCTAATCTGTCCAGTGCAGCTTGGCACAATTGTGAGCTGTCACAGATCAGGGCAATATCATCAGCATACTCTAAGTCAAAAAGTCGTTCTCCTGGGAGTAGCTCCACACCTTCTAAGTCGTGTCCTGTAAACGCGATTTCCATGAGACTTCGTCATGACTTCGTCAACAGCGAAGTTGAATAGGAAAGGTGACAGCGGGCATCCTTGTCTCACGCCGCCGGAGATATCAAAGGGCGACGACAACTTCCCGTAAGCCCTCACTCTGCCTGAGCTACTTGCGTATAATTCTCGGATAATATTCACATATTTCTCGGACACACCTCTCCTGAGTAGACAGTCCCAAAGTGCATGTCTATCCACAGAATCGAATGCACCTTTGATATCGAGGAACACGACAATGGTGGGCCGCCAATATATGTGACGGTGCTCCAACAACTGAAGCAAGATGAAGATGTGGTCAATGCGGCCACGACCTCGACAAAATCCGGCTTGCTCTTCACGAATCTGGTTTTCACGAGTGCCAGTCAGTCGGTGAAGGATGACAGAGGCAAGCAATTTGGAGGCGATGGAGATCAGACTGATTCCTCTATGGCTGCCGTATTCCGATCGTGAGCCTCCTTTGAAAATTGGGACAATGACGGAGCGGCTCCAGTTGGTTGGGACAGTTACCTGCTCCCACAATTTGACTAGTAACTCGTGTAAACCATCCACGCGAGCAGGTCCCCCGAATTTGAAGAGGGCTGGAGGGAGATCGTCAGGTCCCGCGGCTTTAGTTAACTTCTACAGTGCGATCTCACGTTCGACTTCTGAGCAAGGGGTGGATCCAAAGGGACAGCCCAGAAAGCGGGGCGATCAGTGGCCGGCGAGAAATCTAAGGATTTCGAACGATTAAATTGCCTTTCAAAGTGCTCAACCGAAGGGTCGGAATGTTTTGACAAGTTGTGGATAGTCTGACCACTCTCAGCACAAATTATTTCACTAACACCAGGTGTCCTGCCGCCCGTTTCGCGTATCAGGCGGAATAAATTCCGATGGTTACCAAGGGCAGTGGCCATTTCCATCTCTGTTGCACGATGAGACCTCCAGGATTCGCAGTCTCTCTTCAGGCTAGCACTGAGTTTTGCCCGGAGCTCTTTGCGAGTTTCATTGTGTTCGCTTTCATCCGGAATACGCCGGCGAGCATCGATAAGTTCCAGAGACTGTGAAGAGACCCAATGTCCATGTTGGCGATTAGACATACCACATGAGGATTTGCCTGCTGCTGATAAGGACTGGTGATTATGAGACCAGTTAGCTTTAATTGCATCCAGTGAGCGTTTATCCAACTCGCATGACAGCGTAGTTTGGTAGGGATTCAGAAAAGCTGGTTTCGCCAGTTGGCTAGTGTCAATGCGCTCACAACGTCGTCGTCGGCGTCCGCCAAAACGCATCCGAATGTCAGCCCATACAAGTGCATGGTCGGTGTCCACACCTGTGCTCCAAATCGAGCGACAGTTCTGGACGCAGCCTTTCCATCGGTAACTTATCGCAATGTGATCGATTTCTGTCCATAGCTGGTTCGAGGCTGGTGGGTGCCAAGTCACCCTTCGGCGGGTGCTGTGTCTGAAATTAATGCTTACAAGAAATAAGCGAGCATCCTCACACAAATGAAGTAACCGCTCACCGTTATCATTACGGGAGCCTATGCCATGTTGGCCGCCTAGATCCCACAATCGTGAGGTTTCATTGACAACCACCAGCAGCCTGAACCAATAGTTGTGTTTAACAACATCCGATTCCGGAAGTGCCATCTCACAGTTTCGTATCGCCTAGCACTTTTACATCCAATATTCTTAATTTTTGGAGCTCACCAAGGAAACGCATCTGACTCGAGCTTGCTAGGTGATGTCGAGGCTGACGAGACATATCTTGTGTTATCGTTTCGGTTAGGTCTAAAATGGATTCCCCGATGAGCATACAAACTCTATCCTTAAGCAATACGTCAAATTTGGATGTGCTCAATGCGAAGGTGATTCCAGGACATAATCTTTTGTTGCAAGGGTAGGTTGGATGCATCAGCCTTGATAGTGTTAGACTCAGAAAACAGCTCCATCAAAAACCAGTCACTTTTGTGCATACGTGTCTGGAGGGTATTTAAACCCAAAAGTCACACCGGTGATGCGCATGTTAGAGTGTGTTTTTGTTCAAGATCAATGCCAGCGCCAATCTCCAAGTCTCCTGATTATATTCTTGCTGGTTTACAGTGGATATTTGAGTGTAAATAGGGCAGTTATGCAGAGCAAGTCACAATTGGTTACGCTAGACGCAGGCGTCTCGTAACGGTGCGCAACCAACTTGACAAGCAACTTCGTGTGTATGTGAAGGCCACTTCAGATCTGCGAAAATCTGATGATGCATATCACTCACTGACGCATCGGATACTAGGATGGTACGGACGGGGGATGTTACAAGCGCGAATGCAATATGGTGGGTGGGCTCCGTTATCCAGTTTATAAAACCGCGTTCTAAGTACGAAAGGTCTGCTATAAAGAGTGGAAAAAGGCATTCTGTTACGGACTATAAGACAGTTTGCACTGGCCCCAATCGGCACTGATTCCGAATTTACCGGCTAACTATAAACTGAACGCTTTGGTGCTCCGCTTAAACCTGTCCTGCATGGAAGTTAGCGGATAGGGCATCCGGTATATGGTAGTAGTGCTGATTGGGAAAACGGGTTGCAAACTAATCAACACTGGTTAGCATGCCTATGATATCCGTTTTCCACAATTAGTAAGTTGCAACGAACATCACCGAGAGAAAACATAAGGATGCCTTCTTCAAGAAAATGCCCAGTCTTTCGCTACTGCTTGTGCCCAGTGGATTGTTGATGAAGTCTATTCTGAAGCAACGCGAGCAGAAACACAACATGTAATGCGTCACACGATTGGCAAGTGGGCTCGAATTCGAGCAATGTGCTGGACCTTATACAACATTAAATACGGAAATATACTTTAAAGATATACGATGGCTTTGAACACAGAGAATGAGGTCACCATTGCGACTATGAAAAAGCGGGAGGAAAGACAAGTGACTGACCAGTTTTGCTCTTCATATGCCAGCATTTGTACACGTCGTTCCAGGTCCTCCACACTGGATCTACACAAAAAGGAAACAAATTAGAGCGAACGCGCCATCCGTTGCAAACAATTGGGCAAACGCAGCTAGAAGACTGGTCAGGTGGGTGACACTTGTGCAGGCGTTTTCCAACGTATAGAGCCAGTGGCGCTCAGGTGATATAATCATCACCAAGTGGGTGTTGCACAAGACCACTCGAGCAAATTAATTTGCAATGTTAGCACGATTGCAGGAAAACAGCTGGGACAATACGGATTGCAAAAATTGAACGGAACGTGCAGATAACTAAATGAGTATATTCCCCTTCAGACAGGATATGCTCCGTAATTCGGGGAACGATAATTTGTACATGATTGTCTATCGCAAATCTGGGTGAGTTAAACAATCTTTTAACTCTAATATAACGTACGAATACATTAGCGATTTCTGGCAGTATGGGTTTCGAAATTCATCAGTGATTCAATGGTGAAATTTTGTGTAGACAAGGATCAATAAGGCATAAGTTCTGTGAAATACGTAGCAAGGAAGAGATCAGAAATTAACTTTTGGCGTATTGTCTGGGGGCGGATATGGTGGGTACATTCGTGTATAAAGAAAGAAACCTTTATTGTCGACCATGCGAAACCCGCCCTTAGATGCATGGGGATGCAATAATGTGCATTACACTGACCATGGGTTGACTATAAAAATTCGATTGCTGAACAGTTATTGACAGTTGAAAAGACATATATGGTGATTAACACTGACAAGATGTATGAAGTATGGTCTGACGTTTGACAAAAATAGTCATCGAATCTATTAGAGGACGACGGAAGAACTCAAATAAATATTTGCGACCCAGGGGTCATATGAATGAGCACGTCTTCAAATGGTTTCACAGAGTTTTCTTGGATACTGCAAGTTGTATTCGAGCGTGTGCCGCCTAACTGCGAGTAAATCAAATTCCTGATAAAAGCAATCGTCAGCCCCCTGCCCAATTTAAACAGTTTTTGTCAGGTTGTTAGCATGCTCCAAGCAGGGACAAACGGGGGCTTGATTGTCCCCATGGTCGAGCTATGGGCATTCTTTTCCCGAAATCCATAAAAGATAATTAGCAATATCGCTTTGAATAAGAATGCCTGAATTATTCGGTATGGTTTAATAAGCGAGGTGGATATTGTACGCCAGCTAATTGAAAATCAGGTTCAGGATAGAGAAAACGTGTGGTAATCAAGTGAATACAAATAGTAGAAAATGCTCTTGATTTGGTGACACCATTAACACAGCCTTCAGACTGCTTATCGTTGAAAATGTTCCTACAAATTCACAGTTGTGTATGATGGTAAAGCAATAGTACGAAACGTTCCTACCTGGCTGATGATATTATTAACAACTCAAATAACTGAAAACAGTGATTATGTGAGCTGGGATTCGATCAAAACCAATACCATCTATAATGGCATGAGTATACAAGCTTATACGACAGTAGCCCCGAGTTGATAGCACCATATCACGTTGAAGACGCAAAATGCAGTTCAAGTCTAGAGCACGATGTTGATGTGATTGAAGTTCCGCAACGCAGAGTAACCAAAATTGTTAGGAGCATGCTTACCGTCCATAGCAATTAAGACTGCGAGTCCTTGGCCTGTACAGCGGTAAACATCGACGTCTGCGAAGAGACTACATCATAGTGTGCCTGATACTGGAGAACCCCAATCACGCTTGCCGCGAGCTGTTGCAGCTAAGCCACAATACTAATCTGAGGCAGCCAGCTAAAACTTGCCACACACTCCAGTCGATTTACCTATTGGTAAAGTTGTTTATCCCTTCGAGTGTCCCGAACATGGAACACTCCTCCAACTCACGTCATTTGTGTCCATATGATGATGTTATCTCCTTTGCATTACATGAGGATGTCCGTACCAATCCGAAGACGAAATAATGCGAACCAATCAGTGTGAACACAAGCTCTCTCCGTAACGTAGCGGTGAGGAAACATGTATCTGTGTTCAAGTGAATAGTTTGGCAACTCACCTAAAACCCGGAAATTTCACTCATTTTCCTGGCATGTTACACCTTCAGTTTTGCAATCATTATTCAGGTCGTCCCCGTTATAAAGCTGTGTGTAATATTCACTGTATTGTTAAAAACCTCGTTTGGACCACTATCAATTCGTACTGCTATCAACGCATGCCAGGTAATGGTCCAGAATTGTAACAGCGGATGATGATTATGGCGCGGACCCTGCATGCATGCGTTGCCCAGAGAACGGTCTACCGGCTATCACAGAAAACTCGATTGAACTGCTGTTTTCAAGACGGCAACCGTTAAAAAGGCCCTGAACAGTTAGTCAAGAGCACATGTGGTTGTCAAGTGGGTCTTCTCAGCGCATCATAATTGAGGTAGAATTACCTAGATATAGCAATCAGATTGTTAGACAGCCAAGAGTGGTTTAAGTCTGTTAACAGACCGATCGTACAAGCAGGTTACATAAGTAGTGACTAACTCGAGGAAATGCAAGTCAATACATGATGTTAAACATATGAGCGTTAATCAAATCAATGGTTTATAGGTACAAAGCAAAGACTGGTTTTTCTCGGGAATGAAGAGTCGAGGATTATCCATACTGATAGTTAGAAGAACATCTCCGATTTCACGAACCATAAGAAACAATTGCGCACATAGGATGCATTGCATCTGAGACTGATAATAGAGCGAGGAAAGTGCCCCATGTACAAGTCGATAGATTGAAAATACACTAGTAATTATCCGACGACATCAATATACCTTTGTCGTAGATATTCCTTCTCCTCCTCACGAATACGCTCACGTTCTCTTGCGTGGAAATCCACAATGAACTTTGGGTACCGCATTACAATGGGATAATCCGGGCTGGTCAATGGCTGGAACTGAAGCAAGGGTTTTCGTGAAGGGGAGGTGTTGTTAATCGCCAAATCAATGGTGCCGTCCACTAGAGTCGGCTGAAGAAGCGAGCCGATCAAACGATCAGGATTCATGTCGGGCGGACAACAGGCCATTAATTGATGAGCCTTGTCCACTAGCCTAACCAGTGCGACGGCATTTTGTCCACGGAAGAAGTTCTGTTGAAGAACATGGGTGAAAAGAAAAAGTGGTTACATTGCTACGGGCTAGAGGAGAATATTCCCGAAGTCATACATCACATCTGTTTAAATAAATCAAGAGCACGATCAAGAGAAACAACCCAACATCCGAACTCACATTTGAAGCGCTCAAAATAAAAATAAAATCCTCATGGCTCTGGTTGAGCGCGAGTCAAGATCAGTGCTCCTGAGAGATCGGGACACGAATAGATCATGGAAATGTCAGCAGCTCTGACAGGTTATTCCGAAAGTTATAATATATCACAGCTATAGCAAATATGGTTTCGCTGACATGATAAGAACGAGCTGCACCATTTGACACGTGAGATGGTACGAATGCAAATTAATGAGGCAAGGAGTAATGCGCTCGTGAGATTCCAGAGCGCTGCTCACCAAATGTGTGGTAAGAAATTAGGCCGTAGGCGCAAAATTACTAATAACAGTTACCAGGGTGTTATAACATGACCCGGGAGGACAGCAATCGCAAAGACCCCCACAATGTGGTCCGCTGTCCCAAAGGCGATAGCGATCCGTCTAAGTAGCTCTGGATTTTAAATCACAAACACATGAATCGGTTGTACAATCTGCTCTGTTACACAGTATCATTCATCTCACAATGTGAACAGACTGGTTTGGAAGATATGTCACTCCCGCTTTTAACCTACATAAATGAGCTTCAACATTGGCTTCAAGTAGAAAATGGATAGATGCATCCAAGCATTCTACTGAGCGTGAAACCACCGCAGTAAAGCGTGAGTATTGAGTCGGATTTGCACTATATGCTTAAGCTTTCAACGGGGCAAGTTTGCAACTCTTATTAGCATGAATAATTTCACCAGGTGTGTTGACCTGATGACAAAGAGGAGCAGTTTTAATTCCAGTTAGCATCCGTGATACTGTCTGCGCCTAGCAGCGACCAACCATTCCTACTGGGTGATCTAAACGCGCGCATTGGGCATGATGCCGTAGCGTGGACAGATGTAATAGGAAAATGGGAACGACGGCCGCTTGCAATTACGACCTGACCATCACAAAGTTATCACAAGTGGCTGGGAGTGATTTTGCTACTTGGACAAACAGACAGAGTGGTCACGTCCGCCCGTTCGACTATGTCATCGTACGCCAGCGTGACATGCGCGAAGTGTGCATGACACGTGTACTACGTGAAGCTGAGTGCGGCACCGATCACAAGTTGGTGCGGACCAAATTGCGTATACTTTTCCGTAAATCTGTGTATTGCTCACTTGTCGTGAACCGGTGCAAATATAACGTTCTTACCCTAGGTACCGCTAAGAAGAGGATAGAAGTGGAGAAGGCGATGGCTACCCGCCTTGTTAATGTTGAATCTACAGACCAAGTGTGCGACCTGAGGCACGACATCTGTGAACAAGTGACGGCTGCTGCGGAGGAGACCATCGGCCCAACTGGTTTGATGGTAACAATTTGACCTTTGGAGCACTGATGTCGAAGAAATATTCGCTGCATATGTGGCGAACCCCGACGACTCGGAGAGCCAGTTTTGAAAAATACGACGGCGACTGACACGAGAGCTCCGTCGCATCAAGAATGCTTGGTGGACGGAGAAGGTAAAGCAGATGGAATGCTACTTCGACTGTCTCTTGAACAACCGTTCAGAGATTGACTGGGATATGTTGCACGGGCTGCAACAAGATGACGATGTCTTGCCGATATACCAAAATTGTACGAGACGTTGAAATTTTGTTCAATTTCGGGACGGCAGTTGCGCCGGAAAATATGCGATACCGCCAACAGTATTGAAAAACGGTGGACCCGCAATTCTACATGCCATGCACCACTTGGTGGTAGGCGTGTGGTTTGAAGAAGAAATGCCAGCTGAGCTGTGCTACCACCGTATCACAAGAAAAGAGACCAAGCAATGTGCCAACAGTTGGCGTGGCGTCGATCCGCTTAGTTGCGTCTGAAAAATGGTCGCTTGAATCCTACTCAACCGCCTCGTCACTAGGGTTTTAAAGCAAATGGAACTGGAGGGCAAGGAGGATTCCGTTCGGGCCGCAACACCATGAGCAAAACTGCAAAGCCAGTGATGGTCAAACGTACATAGGATCTCTAAGTCTTTCGACTTGGTGGGCCAGGTTTCACAACCGTACAAGAGGATGGAACGGAAGGCTGCAGCGTAAACCCTGCCCTTCAAGAAGAGAATGATGTCGCGCCGGTGCCACAGGTGGCAGAGATTGGCGAAAGCCCCTCGAGTTTTGCTATATGGTTTGTGATCTCATCACTGATGCCACGGGCCTTAACATAGATGCCGAGGTACTTCAACTGCTAGACATTTTTTGCAGAGCACTATCAAAGTTCAGCGGACAGGTGGGTCTGTGCCAATCTTAGGGAGGGACATCGCATTTGAAGAGTACAAAACAGAGCCCAAACGAGTGTGTTTGGGAGAAAATCTGTAGGCGAGCAGCCGATCACCGGTACGAAGCTAAAGCATGGCCAGCGAGCCGTCACTCTTCCGTATGGATTCAATGAACCTATAGCCAATTGATGAACTGTCTACTTAGCACGAGACCGGTTTTGCTAGACTGGTCATAAGCTGAGACTTCCGGAGGTTTCCACGTGGGTTTTATGTACTGTTCCTGAATTTTTCACTTAATTTTTATATTGGACGGTGTGAGTAGCAAATACAACACCGTTACCTCTCTACTTGACAGAAACCTCTTTTTCTCTTTCCTGGGTAAGGGTGCAGTGACCTGGAGTTTCCAATCGATACCCGACCGTCTAAACTGGAGAAGGACGAGGAATTCAGATTAATATCCAGGGCTAAGTTGTCCAATGCTGTTGCCACGTTTGGAAGTTGTCACAAACCAAAACGATATCGTCATAAAGCGTTCTGATAATGTTTATCTACTTTTCGGGCACGCCATTCCTGCGCAGACAGTCCCAAAGGACACATCGATCCACCGAATCGAAAACAGCTTTTATGTCGAGAAACATGATACCGGTGGGTCGATACAAAATACGGGGGTGTTCTAACAAATGACGTAAAGTGAAGCAATGGTCAATGCAGTCTCGATTTCGACGGAACCCGGCATGCTCCTCACGAATTCGACTTTCACCAGTGCCAGCCAGTATCAGAAGAACGACAGATACAAGCATTTAAAGGCAATTGTGATCAGACTCATTCGTCCATGACTGGCGCATTCCGAATGTGAACCCCCCTTGAAGATCGGAACAATAACGGAGGGGCTATAGTCGGTTGGGACAGCGTACTGCTCTCACAGCTCCACTTGTAAATTGTGTAAAACATCTACAGGAACAAGTCCAGCGAATTTGAAAAAGGATGGGGAAGTCCACCTGCCTCTGCGGCACTATTCACTTTCAACAGTCTGATCTCATATTCGAGTTCGATGCATGAAAGCGGATTCAAGGTGAGGGCGCAGGAAGAAGGGCAATTAATGTCGTGAAAAGATGTAACTCAGGCTTTTCAAAATGCTTGGCCCAACGAGCAAACGTTTTAACAAGCTGCAGATCGGCTGTCCGCTCTCGTAGCGAACAGTCTCGTTAACACCAAGTTTCCTGCTGCCCATTTCCCATGCCAGACGGAATAACTTACAATTATTACCGACGGCAGTTGCTGTCTACATCTTCGACGCACAATGAGACTACAAGAATACACAGGCTCTCTTCTGACTGACACGCAGTTCTACCCCGAAGTGCGTGCGATTCGCATTGTGTTCGCACCCAGCTGGAACACGTCGGCAAGCATCCAGAAATTTCAAAGACTGCGTAGAAAGCCAATGTCCAGGTTGGCAATTCGATTAACCATGTGAAGAAACGCCTGTTGTAATTGTCTGGCGTCTAACCATTGGCCAAGCAGGTAGGAGTGGCTTGGAAGGCGCAAAAACGGCACCCAACACAGCCCAAGGAGTCGTTGAGACACGCAGAACTATCGCGACATGTTAAAACGCAGTCTCGTCGGAATGGGAGTTTATCACCAACGAATGTTGGCTTTGGATTGTTGGCAGTGGAACATGGCTGATAGCGTAATCGCTTCTAGAATGAGGTTGCCTAGGTTAACGGGAAGGTATAGTTGCGCCAAGAATAAAAACACCGGATGCGCAAACGTCAGATGCCGACTGAGTCTGGTCCTTCCAAACCATGCACGTGGTGTTGGGGCACAAGCGAACGAGTGCCTCAGCTCAGCTGGTATGATAAAGTGGCCTGGTTTACGTCTGATATGCATATTCCCTCTGTTCATCAGAGGAATGATGTGCATGTTGAAAAAGTGTGGGCTGGTTTGAATCAATCGTGAATTTTTCGAGTTTATACCAGATATGGGGTATATGTTTGTAGCTGTAGGCGGCACAGCGCGAGCCGTCTATCGACTTTCTGTAGGCACAGGCGTCCTGTAGCTGTGCACGGTCAAAGTGAGAAATAACACTGGAAACCGACACCAAAAATAATGATATATATATATATATATATATATATATATATATATATATATACTTAGTTGGCGGCATCTGGTTTCGGATTTGCCTGTCACTGTGGCCCGCCACAGGATGCCCGCACCTACAGAGGGACCATGGGTGACTTGATCTGCACCACCCACAGCTCCAACCACAAACCCCATATCTAGTGTCAACTCGAAGGAATAAGACCGGGAGGCATGTGGATGGGAGCCACGTTTCATCAACGCAGCCGGCTCACACTCCTTCACAGGCAAACACAAGCACGCTGTATTTGGAAATCAAGCGCACACAAGGCGGTGGCTGGACCGTAGTCCGCTCCACACTGAGTGCATGGAACCACTTTTCGAGCCTAGCACGACCACAAGCACCGTGCACCCCGTCCCCTCCAGCAACGACCAACTATCTCTTAGAGACAGTATAGACGAGGTAGTGGGTAATAGACAGGTAGACACCTTGTCAACATGCAAATCAAGCGCAGCCGCACCGGGGATGTCAAACAACAGCCAATCACTTGAAACGATAATATCA